ATTTGTGATGAATCAAACTACCCTGCGGCTCGGACTTTCCACCCGACACACGCCCACCCTCATCTTTTTCAACATCCAAAAACTAGTTGTATTTTAAAAAGAAACTGCCGAAGTGGAATAAGGTAAATGAGGGACAGTTATGAATGAGAACACGGTGACCCTAAAGGCCCCCAACGCCGAACGCGGCTGACAACCGGCAGACCTCCGTAACAGCCGCAAGTCACAAACACTCGTTTGAAAAAATAAAAAGTCTCACAACTCCACGGGTCAAGTTAAAACAAAACTCGTGCTTTATTACAGTTGTCGATAAAGCCGATCGTTGCCTCATGGTGTCAGTAAATAGTCGTCAATAGTGAGATCACCGAGTCCTTCTTCCCCTTTCTCCAACCTCCGTTTTATATAAAATAGATTTGGGATAAGCGCCATTTTCTCTCCAAACCATGCGCAATGAGACGCTCAAGAAAGCCCGTTGGAGGAGTGCCATTTAAAAGAAAGGGGGAGAGAGGGAGCGCGAGAGAGGGGGAGAGAAAGGGGGAGGTTAGACGGTATCGGGGAAAAGCGAGCAGGGCTGGAAAAAGGTCCGTAAAACGCAACAAATGACAAGCAGCGGCAGCACGGTGGACACACACACACACACACACACACACACACACACACACACACACACACACACACACACACACACACACACACACACACACACACAACAGTGTAACCACATACAGTAACAAACCGGAGGCGCACCATACCGGAAAAAAGCAACGAAGAAGAGCATGGAAAAACGGCGATCATTGTCATACCTGTGTCAAGCAGTAAGGGGAGTACATGGTTGTGTCTAGAGATGAAAGTTGGAGTAGTTGATAATTAAGTTGGATGGAGGTTCGCTGTGGTGCCGCATTGCAAAGCCGCTGTGGCTCAGTCCAGGCTGTAACCCCGCCTCACTCACAGTGAAAGCTCCGCACTAACTTTAGAGGAAAGTTTCTGCAGCTCTCTCTCTCTCTCTCCCTCCCTCCCTCCCTCCCTCCTTCTTTCTCTCTCGCTCTCCCTCTCTCTCTCTCCCTCTACGCTTCTCTTTCGGAATCCGCACAACAGTATTTACAATGTTCATCGACTTTGAACGTTTTTTAAAAACCAGAATCAGTGCGTCGCTAAAACTCCCGAGAGGAATCGCATGAGACACGCTAACCCTGCAGTGCTGTAGGGCTTTAGTGCGCATGTGGGCTCAGTGGTGAGTTCAGTCACCTCATCGTGTTTCATTGAATACAAATTAAAAAAGACCCATAGAATATCTAATATCTCTGTAGTATTTCCACCTGGAGCTACAGTTCTGTTGCGGTATCCCTAGCAATGTTTTTATTTTTCATAGGTTTTTTTTTTTTGTTGAGGGATTTATTGTTATGTACTTTTCCTCCCGTGCAACACACATTCAGTCATAATGTTGCCGCGTTTTTACTTAAGCTGGTGTTGATAATAATACAATTAAAATATTCAGATTCTATCTTTCTTTCAATGCCAGAACATAAAGATAGATAGATAGATGGATAGATAGATCAATCTAAGTTTAGAACAAATAAACCAAGACCTAGTTTTTTGCCTAACAATTAACATCTTTGTTATTTACAAAGGTACTTATCTTATTGATAAAAATACTATTTATTTTCTTGTGTTTTTACAATAACATTCCAAATACCTTGCTACATTCTTATGCTGAAATGTATATGTGGCTTTGCATTATAAATCTGCCTTTAAAAGTACTGAGTAAAGAGCAAATACAGATGATTGAGGAGGCAGATTTCCTAAATGTAATCTATTTTCAACACTCGGATCCTTCGCTGTTGCACATAGTGACAAAAACAGAAGCAATGGTTTAAAGTTTACAACTCAGATTTTACTGTGGTATTCTCTCAGCCCGTCAGCTGGAGATGGTGACACAAAGCTTTCCCCACATTGTAAACTAATTCAAGTGTCTCAAGTAGAAGAGGCCCCATATTCTTAACTTGAGTCTTTGTTACTGTAATTTAAAAGTGTGCAATGGACAATGTGGCTGAGGGAGCTCAAAGGTTTGCCAAACATATTTGTGTTTCATTAATTTTTACAAGGTGTGACGGCTGGATTTGATGCCCAACTCTGTCAGCTTCCTTTTGTATAGGGTCGGTCATAGCTGCAGTTTACGGTGAGAAACTCCTAGTCTGAAAATCATGTGAAGGAACATTTAAATAACATTTATAGGGACGTACTTGAATGGTCTCAAGAAACTATAAGTCCAAAGTCATTAAAGAAAGCTTTGTAATTTATTCAGCAGTGATATCCCTCGCATTCCTGTTTTTCTTCTTTTTCTAACGCTGTCCAAGTCATATTCTAGTGCACTGTATATGTATATGGAAACAAAAGATACCTGAACTAGGACGAAGTGGTCTAAACCAGTTTCATTGTGAGCCCTATTGTATGGAAGCGATACACTCTGTTTCTAATCAGGCTTGGCTTTATCCTTGCCCGCTCCCTGCTCCTCAGCCTAATCAAACTCATATATGCAGGCAGAGTGCCGGCAATTATACATAAGCCCCTGCCTTGTGCATGTGTGTGAGTGTAGTGTTTGGAAATGTGTGTGTGCGCCTATGTGTGAATACAATTCTGCATTTGCGTATGGCTGTGTGTACAAGTCTTACACAACGTGTGTGTGTGTGTGCAAGGGTGCGGTTTCGGGGGGTTGAAGTCACCCCCGCACTCGAATGCCAAGTTTTTCAGGGGGTTATGAAGCTGTGCAACTTTACGAGACCTCAGCCTATGTAGGATACTTAGCCACACACACCACAGACACACACGCATATAATGTACGGTATATACACACATACGAGTACACACTCGTATACGCACACAACCACAAATGTCTTGTGGTCAAAGATACGCTGGCACAAGCAACTAGAAACTGAATAAGAATGAGAAAAAGGAGAAAAAGACGAAATAAAAGTGGACGAAAGTGAAGCATATTGAGGTGTAGTCTATCCCTTTCCCATGGACTCTCCTCTTTCCAAACCACACCCCAACACGGCACAGGCCCAAACCCCAAAGTCTTTGTGTGCTCCCTCGCTTTCCCTCTTTTCTCTTTCTGTCCACCCCATTTTCTCTTTTTCCCGGTTCTTTTTAGTGACCCTTTTCCCTTTTAATTTCTTATAATCTTTTGCTGTTACCTCTCTCTTTTTGCTCTCTTAATCACACACACACACACACACACACACACACACACACACACACACACACACACACACACACACACACACACACACACACACACCACACACACACACACACTGTCCCTTTCGTCTGACTGACTTTGGTGGCCGTCTTTGTCTCTGGCTGCAGTCTGGACCCAGACATCCATCTCAGTATTCAACAGGCATCTTGGCTGTAACAAACAAACTATAGCAACCACAGAAGTTACAAAACACTGACGCTTAGGTTTTCTTTCCAAACTCTCTCTCTCTCTCTCCCTCTCTCTCTCTGCCTGTGATCAAACAGCCCTGTCCGGCCATCACCTTTCAAAGCCCCTGAAGCCACAGGGCTCTAGTGGTTTCTGAGACTACGTTTGCCATTAAAAAGCACACGAGAAAACCATATGGTGTGTCTAAAGTTAGCATGTTGTGGTCTCCCATTGACACACAGCACTACCCAAATACTTGCTGTTTACCATTGCCTGTGGCTAGGCCATTAAATATTGAAAGTGATGTAGCATACTGATACTGCCATTAGCATGCTAAATGTGTGAGACAGGTGGTTGAGGCTGCCTTTCAAAAGGCAGGAAATATGTGAACGGAAAATGTGTGTAACTGTAGCGTTTACTACGCCGTACAGTGTAAATATTGTTTGAGTAAGCTGTGTATGTGTGCTCTGGGAGGGAGCATGCCAGTCAAATGCATACAGGCATATGCAGTCAGAAAGAAATGGCTGACTGGCCGTTATGGCTAACAAGCATATCATACACAGTGAGGATCCCAGAGACTCTTTGGATCTGTTTGCAATCTGAGTGTGTGTGCAGAGCAATGTGTGACGCCTGCTGTTTTTTTATGTGTTTACTGTGTGCAATAGCTGCATATACGTTTTCCTCCGACTGGTTTGGATTACCGCATTGACTTTCTTTGTTTTCAACAGGAAGAAAACGTACAGATAAATGTTTCTTGTCTGTTGTCATCATTTCTTAATTTAAACAGTATACTCAACATGTCAGATAAGAGCCCACAGGGCAAAGCGACAGGATTCCATGCGATAAAACTAAGACCATGAGTGTTTTTTTACAAAAATGTATATGAAAAAGAACACATGCTGAACACATGACACCCAGAAAGAAAAAAATCTCATGTATGAAGTTTTTAAAGTTTTAAATGTTATGTTGTGCTCTGCTGCTTGCTTTGTCCTCCAAGCGAGGACCGTGTGTGTGCACTTGGCAACAAAGCAAAACTACAGCAAAGCATAAATTAAAACTTGTAAAATACATGTCATAGAAAAGTTGACATTTTCAGGAAATACAGTGTTTTTGCAGGGCACTGTTGCCACCCGTCAACACAGTCGACAGATGAGTTCAGGACGTACATGATGACATGTGGGAGATTTGACAGGAAGTGGATATATGAAAATGCTAACGGGCACACCGTCAACTCTCAAAAAATGTGTGTGTATTTCCTGGAGACATAAACTCCACACTAGCTCTAATGCAAGATTTAAAGAGTGACGATGATAAAGTGGTTAACGTGGTTAAGTCTGGCTATAAAAATATTCTCAAACAATGCACTGAGGCATCTTTCGAACTCTTTAACTCCTTTCAACTGCTGTAAATCTTTACAAAAGAAAAAATAAATTATTTTTATGGGCTGTGTGGCTTGTTTGTGTGTCTAGAAAATAAATGTTGGGACAGCAACATGACAGGGATAGTTAGATAGTGTTTGTGTGTGTGTGTGTGTGTGTGTGTGTGTGTGTGTGTGTGTGTGTGTGTGTGTGTGTGTATTTACCCTATATGTATCAGACACGAGGAAACATTCAGGCATCCCAGGGCCTCTAGAAGGATCGTCGTTCACCAGGTAGGTGTCAGTAGCCTGAAAAAAAGAGAAGACGGTTATTCAATTAAACTTATCATTTTAATAGAATAGGGATTTTTTTCATAATATCAACAACTCTGTAAGTAAACAATTCTCTAGCATTAACTAATTAAGTGGCAGCTTGAACCTGTTGCTTTGTATGAGTTTACAGGAGGAAATATACATGAGCAATACAATATAATAAAATAAAAATGATTGAACTTTATATCCGAAATGCGTTGGTTTTAAACATACTTTTCAAGCCCATACTGACCCTCAGAAATAATACATGTATTTATTAAAATCCAGAGGGACATTTAAAGTGACCTATGGTGTCCTGAAATCATTTTAAATTGTGAGACAACCCTAAAATGTAACTTTTTCTGTGTGAGACGGCCATATTGCCTCTACTGGTGTCATTGCTCCTCAGAAAGCACAGCGCCTGCTCTCAACTCTTGCACTATACATCCCCAGCCAGGCTGTCTGTAAGTACCAGCGTGCATGCATGCATGTGTGTGTAAGAGTGCTTTCAGCGGGCTTCATTTGTATTCTAAGTCAAGCAGGCAGGCAGGCAGGGTTCTGGCAGGGCCCGGAGCTGTGAAATGGGCTCTACTTGCAGTTCTTCCGTTGATTGGATCAACCTATCCCACTCTACTTAGCCGAAGGGAGCCCAAATCCCACAGCCGCTGCGCCGTTCTGTGAAATCCTATTTCATTTCACAACTTTAACGGATAAAAAAGCGTGCACACGCACTTGTGCCAGCCCAAGACCCCATGCCACATTTATTTAGCCGAACAGGAGCAGAGAGAAAGCAGTGCATGTGGTGTGTGGAAACACTTAAATGCACGCACATATAGTCTCACCCTCCTGTAAATATAATCACCTGCACGTATATATATATATGTGCATTTTCTCCACGCCCATGTGCTCTATGCCTCGCACACAAACACACAGCAACACGCACGCACACACCAACGCACACGTGCATGCAACTTACGCAGACACAAACCCCATAATAAGAGCCAGACATTGGCAGACCACACAGCCCTGAGTTGTGGTGAAAACAAAGGCTATTCATATCCTTCGCAATGAGAGGTCTGTACAGCTAACTCTCTTTCTCCCTCGCTCCCCCGTCTCTCCCCGCAGCTTTTTATTACAGATAATCTGCACTCGCAAACCTTCCATTTTTCTGCAATTGTGCGATTTCTAATCATCTTTATTAGTCCATAAACATGTTTTTTTTTTATTTAGTCTCTTTTTATAGCTGAGGCCTCCAGCTCCTTACGTGGCAACACAGTGCCCATTGTTGAGTTTCAAGAAGAGGACGAAGCCAGGAACGGAGTGAGAGAGGCCTGCTGATAAGACTGCAAAGCATTATGGGAATGGGATAGCAGAGTTTTTGGATGCATACATACACATGCATGCTGATATACACACATCGCACACAGACACACACACAAGACAAAGTGCAATCACTCAAAGTCTACCAGGCGACATGTCTGTGATAATGAGACGATGTATCTGATTGGCTGGCGCTCAGAATAATGGCCTGGATCCACGGCACCTGTGTGGGGGCCCGCACCAGCATGAGCCTGTCGACTACCAGAAAGAGGACCATAATGCATCAGGTGCGCTGGATCCCTGTAATTGGCTGTGCCTGGCCAGATACAAGGTCAGGTGCACAAGCAAGCCTCCTCTGATTGGCTGAGTCGGACCCAAAAAGCTGCGATTGGGGAAGAACTGTTTTTATTGGCTGCCACTGCCTCATTCTGCTGGTGAATGGGTGTCTGGCAGGATGGCATGGGGAGAACTGGTTCAACTGGGAGTATGTGAGGACACATACTGACTGTTTGAGAATATCTTACGTACAAAAATCTCAACTTTACTCATACCTTAACTTGACCCGATAAGCTCTTTAAAACAATGCAAAAAGCAACTGCACTGCAACAATACAATTTGCTCTCATTTTATATTAACCAACCAACAAAGAGGAGTTTAAATGCCCTCTTTATGTCGTCAGCCAAGGAAACAGGTGTTGATGAACCACAATCCCATTGTGCAACAGTGAATAACATGAAGCTAATGAATGGCTAAGCTCTGTACCTGCCACTGGGGAGGCCAGAACATACTGACTCCCTTTGTAGTAAACCCCAAAAAAACTCCAGGCCCCCAAACACTTTCTCCTGCAGCAGTGTATGAATTATATATTGTACTATATATATAGAGCATATGCCCGGCCCATATGGCCAGCCCTAAGCGAAAAAATCTCAAAGCCCTCCTTAATTAACATTTTAGAGGGAAGATTCGGAGGCGGGAGATTGAGTCAGTGACCTATTTGGAGTCCATCATCGCCCAATGCAAATGTGTTAATTGAGACAGATTTTCGCACTCCAAAAATATATGGAGTAGGGGATGCAATGGAGATTTTTTTTTTTGTCTGCGCCATCTGATCTAAGGTAGGGCTATAGGATGTGTTTGAAAATGCTATTCCTGCTGCCTACACTGACAAAAGAAGACACTTTCTCCCTCACTATCTCACACAGTCTTCCCTTGGCTCGCTCTCTATGTCTCTCTCTATCTCTGGGTATATGTGTTGACGACCATATGGCCAAATTCTTTGGAGGTGAGATCTCCGAAACCTGCTCACACACTCACACGTGTACTCTCACACACACACACCTCCACAGAGCTTTGTGTATGAAAGGCCCTGATGGTGGAATTTGTTCTCAGATGGCTCCATTTTAAAGCACATGAATGGCAACATATCAATGATCCTCCTCTCTGTCTTTCTGTCTCTCTGAATTTCCCATTTGCAGTTCTACACAAACACACACACACTCAAACACTAATTCACCAACTACACACCAAAAACTTACACTGCAAGCACACCTGGTGCAGTCCTACTCGTTTCCAGAAAGCATTTATTCTGGCTGCTGCACAATCATCTACCACAAGCACTGTCGCCGCTGTCAGTCCATCTTTTAAAAACCATAATTATTATCACCACCATTGTGTCTTATCATAATGATTTGGTGCCTGAAAATAACACTGCCAAGTTTAAGGCACAGGATGAGAATCGGGGGGGATGGGGAGAAAGAAGGAGCGAGTCCAGCCAACCTGCGTGAGATGGCAACCACTTCAAAGACACCGGGCCGCACCGGCGATCTGTTCACGGTGTGTGAGGGGTGTATGAAAGGCAGAAATGGCCGCCGTGTGAGTCCCTGCCAAAGCTACCTCGGGGAGAAATGTTGGAAAAATACGATTTTTCACACAGCCGTCTCAGGGGGGGTGAAGGGAAAACGGGGAGAATAAGAAAGAAGATGAGAAACTGGGGGGCTGCATTAAAAAAAGAAGGATAGATGGATCGCTGAGCAGAGTGGGGCTAATTATTTCACTCCACTTGTGAGTCCTGAAGGTTTTGTTGGGTCAGAAGTACAGCCAAGATGCAGTGCTGAAGATTGCATTTGGCTTAATTGTGCAGTTGTGTTTAACACAACACTAAACGGTGGGATTTTGGGTTATGCATGAGGCACACGGTGTTGTTTCTGTAAAGCAGGCCTGACTGTAGGAGGTAGCCGTTAAACATTCTTCCAGATGACTTGGGCAAAAAACATTTTAGGTATGCTGGAAATACTACCTTTATTGGTACAAATCAAAGGTGCTTACAGTGTATGCAAATTAGCTGGGTGAGGTTGACACCTTTAAATTCCTGAGAAATAGAAAGTAACTATGACAGACTAAACAATAGCTGTCCCAATTCCATGTACAAAGAAAAACCCTCCTTTCACTGTATGGTGAAACAAGTTTATACAGTGCGCACATTCTGACACACCCCGAGATTCATTGGGCCTGGCATCTCGCCTGTCAACTACTGATATTGCTCGACAGGCTGGCTTTCAGATAAACACCATGCCAATTGTAACACTGAACTTCCTGGGCTGCAACATCTCGCTGCCACACCATACTTCACCTCGGTACACAGGTAACCCAACGCGACTGGCAACCCTTTTCCTACATGGATCCTTATTCATGCTTTTTGAATGGCCGAACCACAGTTAAGGCCTCGCCGCAGAGGCTATGCTTTTAACAATGAGGTTTGAGCTGGTACAATCAGCCCTTTGTGTCACACAAGGTCTGATCCGTGGGGAGATTTTCTTGTGGTTATGGTTCTAATACAGCAGAGTTTACCACAAAGGCCAGGAAGCAGTTACATTACAAGACACTCACACGCGCATTTACTATGACTCAAAAAGGCAACGTGTTGGGCTCCTTTCAAATTTCTCACCCACTTCGAACTATGTTACTCCAAAAAATGTATTTAATAACATGGTATGGTTCACGCCTACCTCCCAGCTTGGCACCAATAACTTCTTGGCTTTGTTTGACTGACAGGTTCTGTGGTTGGCAGGTTTTCTCCACCGCAATGCAACCAAATGTTAAATTATAGCACAGAATCCAAACAAAGTGAGCATTATAATATCACTGCCAATGTTTCGCTCACCTTTAGAAGGCCTGAAATGTGACATTTTGAACTGTTTGAGGCCTGTTGGTGTTGTTGTGCAAGTCTGACTGGGTGCTACATCATCACAAACATTTTTGGCAGGTGACCCTATAATAAAGTTATTAATCCTTCACCAATATTTAAAATGTTTGAAAACATGTATTCACATTGTTTGATTAAGTGTTATTTATTTAGGGCTGGTTGGTGGGAATAAATGAGAAGATGCAGACTTAATGAAAACTCGTCATACATGCCTTTAATCATTTTCAGTAATGATGTTGATGGTTGATGACACTGCACATGACCTTTAGTCTAAATGTAAGCTAATGTTTTCTGGACAATATATAAAACACCTCAAGCAGATAAAATGATTAATGATTAAGTCCTCAGGCAATTAATACAATGAAATAATATCAATATAATATCAACATGCAAGCAGTTATCATTCGCATAAGCTGCATACAATGAGAGCGGTTTTCTCTGAATTTGCACATTATTTGCTACATTGCTGCAGTTTTGTGATGTTTTTATATTTTTGTATTATCTTTATTAGTTTACAAAAGACAAAAGCGTTAAAAATGTTTGAATACTATGTAATATACATACAGGTCCAACCTCAAATCTCCTACCGGGCTATTGAATAGCTGTAATATCATTAATATGCACAGTGAGAATGCTTGGTCAAGTGTTTAAAGAGCCACATTGTCGCTGCAAAAGGAATATTGTGTTTCTAAAGAAATCTGAATTTTTACTGACAGTATACTGTTTTTATCCCCTTTCATGTGTTGTACATCTGTGTTTCTGCAAAACTTCACATCACCTCATTGGAATGTTTTCTGTAAATCTACCTTTGTTATTTTACGACACATTAACAGTAATTTATTGGGTTTATAATGAAGATCAATTATAATGTAGGTCCCAATTTTAGGCAATTATAATTATAATTTGAGGTCATTATAATTCAAAAGCTTTGAACTGCAACATGATAGAGATTGTTTGATGTCAATTAATTGTTTGAGTAATCTGATGAAAAGAACACACCTGCTATAAAAACAGATAAGTCAAGCAGATAATGAAATATAATATATATTGGTCTTAATTCTACAAGGTTAAAAATATATTTTGATCATCACCATGCAACCAGATATTCTTTGGATTTTCTGATCATGATTAAATGATACGGAGGTGCTCTCATTCATGCTGTTTTGCACTTGCTCTGGGCACAAAGACAGTCTGTGTGCCACCTCACCTCCCCACCCCCTTGTAGTCGCTATAAAGAGTCATCAACTACGCAAATGAAGTGCCCATTGACAAAAAACTAAACAAAAAAAGGAAAATACTAGCAGCCACCTCAGGTAGAAAAGATAGTCCGTGTGCAAGGTGGAACACGGTGGAGCAACCACGCGCCACACGGATTCGTGATATGCCTTCAGAATACCATCATCATAATAATATTGATGGATATTGCACATATAGGCCTACTATGCTGGGCTTTCAGATCTCCGCAGTCTGCGGACGCAATGTGTGTTTTATTCTGTTTGATCTGAGCTGCGCAGGAAGATCAGCCTCCACTTTGTCAATCTGGATTTACTGGGCCACTCAAACGCCTCTGCAAATAAATTCAGCCTGCACAATGTTAACCATCCGAGGCTAAATTAGATTGAATTGGGAAAAATATGTTTTATATTATACCAGAGTATTATTAAAACGTTAGTATGACTTTAGATAAGGTTTAGGCGAAATTAAGTGCAAGGGAAAGCAGTATAAGGAAAATTCATTAAAATATTACGATACATTTTAAAGATATAAAATATAGAGCTGCATAAACCTGCTTCGTTGTAGTTGAGAAATCCATAAGGACAGTCATCTTAAATGTTGGTCTTATTGTGGTTAATTAATGAGTTTAAATGCTTCATAATTATCTAAATTGGCAAGCAAGTATAGGTGAACATAAACATAATACACACACTCCCCCTCTCTCTCTCTCGCACACACAACCACACACACAACCACAGGTGCGTTGTATCGTCATCGATGGCCTCATACACACCACAGCCAAATCTCGCTCCGCGCGTCCAACAAAGTGCGGATCTCCTACAAAGAAATTAAAAGCCTTAAACTAACCGCGGGGATTCCGTTAAACACAAGCAATGTTTGGTTTATGTTCAGTCCTATAGACTTTACCCTATAGAGCCAACAGAGGGAAACTATTGAGTTACACAGCACGTACCATTATAGCGTGGGGAGATCTGCCAACCCTCTCAATGCCCCATTTTCCTTTAAAAGTTCAGCTTCCAAAAAAGTGAGAGAGGGAGTGCGGGCTGAGGGAGGAAGACTTGGTCTCTTCGCTGTTGCCGGAAGCAAAAAAAAGGACCTTTAAACAAGTCGGCCTTAGGCCCAGATAGAAAAACAGTCTCTTTCAAAAGTGGGTCCACTCTGCAAGAGATAGCAGGAAAAGAGGACAGCAGTTCCGAGTCCTCCGTCTACCGCAGTCTGGCCTCAGATGCGCCCATGTCCAGCAGCAAGAAGTCAGGGAGACGTCTGCGCCAAAGTCCCGAGGTGCGTCCTTCAGCGGCCAAACTTGCAGATTGGGTGACGCTTAAAAAAAAAACTCCCCGAAATAATATGAATAACTCGATAAAGAAATTCTGGACGGGAGAGTTGATGCAAAGTAAGTTCTGTTTATATTATTTTTTCCGTGTGCAACCCTTGCAGTCGGGCAGCTTCTGTCTCCAAAACGTGTCCAAAAGCGGCTGTCTCCCGCGCCGCGCGTCCGATCTGTTTTACCCTCGTATCTCTCTCTCTCTCTTTTCCTCCCTCTCTCTCTCTTCTCTCCTCTCTCTTGTTCCAAACACACACACGCGGAGTTACACACAAACGGGGGGACACCCCTGGTCCCTCGCCGCCTCCTCCTCAAAGCTGACGAGATGAAAGAGCAGCTTGCGTTTTTCGCTTCTTCAGATCGCGGCAGCCTCGCAGATAGCAGAATGCCTGCACAGCGACACGTCGTCGTTCCGGGCTTTCGCCGCTGCTCGGTGCGTAAAATGGAAGCTTCTCTCTCCGTGCGCTCCGGCAGATAGCTCACACTTCCCTCCCCGAAAAAATATCAGCCATTAAATAGCTCACCTCAGCAGTCCTGTTTACACACACAAACAGAAAAAAAAATAGACCAGGAATTAGGGCAGTTGTTTACAGTGAAGGTGGGGGTGCTTCAGCCGGCAGCGTGGAACTGGTGAATTATTAGGTAAATTATTAATAAAGCGAGCGGTGTGCAGTCTGTCGCGGAGAGAGTGGAGCGGCCAGGGGAGCAGCTGGGGCTTTGGGAGAATTAGGAGGACCAGGGGCTAAATCACGGACGGCGGGGATTAGGGCTGCACTGGCTCCTACCTACCGCCTGCATGTACTGTAGGCTGAGAGAGGGGCACTGTGGGCACGACCCGAGCCTCAGTTTGATTTCCGTAGTTTTCAATGGCACAATCTGGAGCAAAGATCAATATAATAAAAATAAAGGTTCATTGGGTTTTATGAGTTCATTTAAGGATATACGCTGTGCCAGCGATCTCTCCGGTTCCATGCAGCTGATCACATTCACCAAAATTAAAAATACAAGAATCATTTGGCAGATAGCAGTGTAACCCCAGAAGTTAATATGAGGAGGTTCATGGGGTTTTTGAACTGACTGTAATTAAGTTAAATGTAGTCTGTTAATAACGTTAGTCGAAATGGTGGGTAACGGTAATGGCAATGATGGAATAGCACCACTTTAAAGCTGTTTTATATAAAACACTTCACTTACACAGATTTATTGTCACAGTGTCGCCCAGCAGAATGACGCAGTGAAGCAACAGGATTACATGTGGCTGAGATTGTACAGACTACCGACATATTGGGAGCTATTAAAAGGTCTGACTTTTGGGAAATAACTGGAGAGCTCAAAATGTGCTGTTTCTTATAAAACTGCTGATAGTTGTTGGAGACTATAGAGGCCAGGAGCAGCAGAAGCCAGGAGCAGCAGAGCCTTCCAAGACAACAGAAAGACAAGACAGTATGATCTGTGGTTAGTTAGGAGAAGGGCCAAAGGAAGTTCAAAATGTTAGTGGAGTTTTCAATTACATCAGTGAGTAATTTAAAAAACCTGTCCTTTCCTTGGCATCACGACCATTAAGCTACGTTCTGATTTAGTGGCCTACAGGACCTGTAATAGTGAGCAAAAAGGGAATGACGCAACAACAACAAAATAGCAACAGAAAATGTCATCAAATAACCCCAAAATTAAAAAACACTACTACTTTTTTTTAACCATGATTAACTAAAATATAAAAACAGGTTGAGAGCCCTCGTGCAGCACTTGTTTGTACATCTATTCTAAAGGCTAATCACGTTTTTGTTCTTTTTACGTTAGGCCCTGCTTCACAAATATAAAACTATAGGCTTTAACCCAAAAAAAACACTATATATTTTCGCTAGTTTGGTTAAGTAATATTGATCATTGTTCTCTCAGCATAGAGCGGCTTGTATATCTGCATGTACAATGTATTTATTTAAAGTTGTGCGTGCCGTTATCCGCCTCTTTCTAAAATCAGACGTCTAAGGACATTCCTCCAACATGACGGTTTATCAATAATTAAATGTTGACCTCCTCACACATTTGGCCACATCAATTATTCATTTGTAATTGAATTTGTGATTTAAGTTTTAGCCTAATTTGATTATCCTATTTACCACGACAGTGTGTCTATGGTGGGACGAAGTGAGGATTTCTGGCGTTTTAAAAATTAATTAGAGGTAACGGAGGCCCGGATGGCCCATTTCAACAGCAGATCTCAAGTCGTTTTTACTTATCATTTTACTTATGTGAGAGACTTTGGAATATATTTCGATTTTATTTTGAACATTTCAATTTCTTAATATATCTTATTCATTTCTTAAACAAATATGACTACATGAAATAGCATACGTCCAAACAATAGTACATTTTTGGGTGGAACATATAGCCCATCAAATCCGGAAATTGTGAATTTGTATTGTTTTAAAAATCATTGTTATCTTCTGCAGATGTGATTATAGTAAGATTAACTCTGGTCATTAGTTGGGATATAAAACAAACTAGGCTACAAGTTGTTGTAGTGATACATTATATATTGATAAATAATGAAACTATTACTAAGGGTGGGTGAAGGGATGAACGTGAATACGAAAAATAATCACTTTCACACGAAATATTAAAAAACCTATAACCATCAAAAGCACTGAAGGTAGTCAGTGAAAAAAAACAATTACACACACAATAATAATATTAATATTAATAATAATGATTCCGAACATAATACAGCCTAATCCATACTCTTACAGGTGATATTTTACTGATTGAATGAGATCAGCTTTGAGCGGTTGTATAATGTTCACAGTTTATACCATGACCTTCCGAAATGTGTTTTTTTTTTCTTTTTAGTTTGATTGTTAATTCTGGTGACTTATTACAGATGCTGATGACTGGGAGCCTCACACATGCCCGACGGCCTGTTTGGAGAATGACCAGTCGATTGGAAAAATACCAAAGTGTTCCTCTAAACCCCAAATAATCCCACTACACGATTTTTTTCCTAACCTTTAATTAATTTACAAATAACAGTGTGAACAGATAGACCGCACAGTGTACTCAGCACGAGCTACTAAAGCCCGGAAGTTGCAGAAGGCCACACAGACTTCCTGCAAATTGCAGGTACCAAAGAGAAAGAAAGGATAAAATCGAGCAAATAAAAAATCTGCATCAAAGTTTTCCATTGGAAAATTGAAAAGAACCTTACAACCAGACAGTCCGGCAGTTTACTGTTATACAAACTGATCACATTTTCAGTTGGAGGCTTTTTTTCCATTAAAAAAGGCCCGCAAACACATTTAAAAAAAAAAGAAAAACAAGCAGGGCAAAAAATACATGTTGCCCGTTACCAGCATTTACCTGCAAAACACACCCTTGGGGAAAGTGCGCAGAAAACTAACTAAGACAAACAAATTGTCCAATAATAACAAAATGTCACATAATCGCGTTATATTATTAATAGGGTAAAATTATCACTTGGAGGATTTTCTAAGAATATGCCCACAATTAAAACAGTATCACACGTTGAACTGCATGTATTCAATTTACAATAAAATCGAGAAATCCCTATTAATTATTAAAGTATGGACTAAAAAGTGTGAAGTTGTTTGTTAAAACGAGTATAAGGTTTCATTTAAACCCAAGGCCTTTTTCATTTAATTTGCTAATTAACAATCTGCACACTAAATCATTAATGCAACATAGAGGAAACATTTGTTTTTCAATGTGGCTTAAATAATAATGTATACTCCCTTGTCCTGATGCTGATACACCATATGCTTATAGCAGTTGACCTCCTTTCAAATAGGCAATCATTGCATGTTTTTTCTTAAAATAATGTTGATGAAAATGTGGTCTGCTTGTCTAAAATCTAACTTGATCCTCCTAAAAATGAAACCATTTGGGTTTACAACATCTAAACCACCACCACTGTTTATATGGCTGTATTTTGTGGAAACTCTGACACAACAATAAAACCACTCAAATGTTTTTTTTGGCATAAACCCTTTAATTATATTATCAAAACAAAAGAAAAAAGAAAAAGCTCTTTTAAAGTTTCTTGGAAGAGAATCTAAAAAAAAATCAGAAAAATGAATTCAATTGAGATGTTCTGAAAGTTACAAAAACAAACTGGAGGAAATTAGTTGGCATGCATCGGCTCTGATCATGTAAAGCAACCTAAAAGCGTCAATTAGGCAGAGCTTTGGGTAAATAAAAGCCCTGAGCGGTGTATCTCACCACAGACCCTCAAACCAGCCATTACTGCAGACCACAACGCCTCTGATAGCACACTGTTTTAAGACCCAGCATTATGTGGGCAATAAGTTCCACAAACCTCACTCTGAGAGGAGAAGAGCATTAGACTGGCAAGTTCAGACAACATGCAGAAAAGAAGAAAATACCATCAAAACTACAGTATCTTTTTTAAATATCCCTGGTTGGAATATAATTTCAATCTGCGGTCGACATGTTGAAAACTAATTATCATAGGTGAGACCAGGTGATAAATGGCTGGTGATGAATTGTAGCAGATAAATATTCCCTTATCAAAGATGGACTTGGCACCAACTCATGTTTAAAAGTTCAGAGGGACAGCCATGTGAACTGATTTTATCAAATAAATGATAAAATATTGAAGCGTTTAAAAAAGGTTTATATACAAAGAATCATCTCTGATCTCTTTTAAATAGTTGCAGAGAGGCTTTTAAGAGATTTTAAATCATTCAAACAGCTGTTTGGCTCACTCGTCTATAACCCTTTAATTGTCGTTTCTGGATTCTCAACGCTCTGATTTGTGAAATGATTTCTTATCACAAGTGAGGATGGTGACACCAATAGCTGAGGGTAAAAAAAAGGCAAAAATCTCTGTCAGAAGTGTGAGTGAAACAGAAAGACTAAACAATACTCCTTAAAAAAATCTAAAACAGCCGAAAACAAGGGATAAGTAAATCTCAGCTCACACAGCTTCATTGACAAAATGCAGATATTCTATCTACAATTTTACCAATGTAACTACCATGTCCTTACAAGATATCAAAAGGAGCTTTGAAGGGTCTTCAAAAAGACGTACAAAATAAAGAAAAGCAAATTAAGAAGAATTCAGTGACTAATATACCCAAATGATAAGCCACATTTTAGTCCATGCCACCAGGAACACTACAAAGCTACAAAATAGTACAAACACTAAAAATAAAAAGCAAAGGCCTCAGTCCTGCTGCCACTCACTCCAGTAACACCACTGACTCCCAGCATGCTCTCACTGCCCTCTGCTGCAGTGATGTCAAAGGGAAATTATATATTCCACCTTAAACAAAATATATACTCTGCACCAAGACCATATGTAGAGCTCAGTGGAACTATTTTTTCTCTCAACAATCTTCATTCCTCTCCCCGCTGAAAGAAATGGCCTGGAGAATTCTGCGTCTCTCTGCGAAAAGTGCATTAGGCGGGGGGAAAGGAAAGGAAAAAACAAGGCTCT